ACTTACAACGCTAGAAACCGAGTTTCGAGACCCGGGGTGGGCAGAGCACAGATAGCCCTTGAGTAGCGTTGTGCATAATTAAAAAACAAAATAAACACATACAAATACAAACAATAACTGAAAATAACACATACAACAATTATAAACTGACTTAACAATAGTAATGTCACATGTTATTGCATGCACGTTAAAAGGTTTGTTAGTTCGTAGCTAAGCATAAAACTACACATTGGGCTATCTGTGCTTTGCCCACCACGGGTATCGAAACCCGTTGTAGCAGTATAAGCCCGCAAACATGCCGCTGTGCCACTGGGAGGCGCGATAAAAGGAATTTGAATAACTAGGTGAAAGGAAATTGCAAGCTATCTAACTAAAACAAAAATATTCATAATTACAAAGACCAAACATTATTTCTGTTTATCTTAGGTTTATTAGATTAAATGAGGAGAATGGAATTTACGATCAAGAAAACTATAACATTTTGCAAAGAGCTTAATGTTAATGGTGTTTTATTTACTGTACCATGTTTTGTTAGAAAGTGTTCGGCAACCGCCTTTTTAGACTCTAGGTTCATGGTAGCACGGATGTGTTCCTTAAAACGTTCATGCACTTGACGACTGGTTTTACAAATGTAATTATCACCACACTGGGTACATGTCATTTCATATATTACATTGTAACAGTACAAGAGCCATCCAGTCCATTGTTTCTAGCAAGACAAGTTTTGGTTAACAATAATTTTTATTATTGAACAAGTAACATTTTTAGTGTAATCTCCGGGTTTTTTACAATACGAATATTTAACCCAGACTCCAGATGACATTTTCAGTCTGTAATGGGCCATTGAAGTGCTTTTGTTTAATTCTATTTGGAAGAAACCTTTTAAAAATTTCTGAAATATAGTTACAAGGGTAACCATTATAACAAAGAAGTTTTAAGTCTAACCTAGCAGATAGTTACAAGGGTAACCATCATAACGAAGAAGTTTTAAGTCCAACCTAGCGGTTAGTTACAAGGGTAACCATAATAACTAAGAAGTTTTAAGTCCAACCTAGGGGTTAGTTACAAGGATAACCATCATAACGAAGAAGTTTTAAGTCCAACCTAGCGTTAGTTACAAGGATAACCATCATAACGAAGAAGTTTTAAGTCCAACCTAGCGGTTAGTTACAAGGATAACCATCATAACGAAGAAGTTTTAAGTCCAACCTAGCGGATAGTTACAAGGGTAACCATAATAACGAAGAAGTTTTAAGTCCAACCTAGCGGATAGTTACAAGGGTAACCATTATAACGAAGAAGTTTTAAGTCCAACCTAGCGGTTAGTTATAAGGGTAACCATAATAACGAAGAAGTTTTAAGTCCAACTTAGCGGTTAGTTACAAGGGTAACCATCATAACGAAGAAGTTTTAAGTCCAACCTAGCGGTTAGTTACAAGGAGAACCATCGTAACAAAGATGTTTTAAGTCCAACCTAGCGGATAGTTACAAGGATAACCATTATAACGAAGAAGTTTTAAGTCCAACCTAGCGGTTAGTTACAAGGATTATCATCATAACGAAGAAGTTTTAAGTCCAACCTAGCGGTTAGTTACAAGGAGAACCATCGTAACGAAGATGTTTTAAGTCTTTGTTTTGGAATTTCGCGCAAAGCTACACGAGGGCTATCTGCGCTAGCCGTCCCTAATTTAGCAGTGTAAGACTAGAGGGAAGGCAACTAATCATCACCACCTTTCAGCCGTGGGGGCGTTATAATGTGACGGCCAATCCCACTATTCGTTGGTAAAAGAGTAGCCCAAGAGTTGGCGGTGGGGCGAGCATGTTTGGTGTGACGGGGATTCGAACCCACGACCCTCAGATTGCGAGTCGAGTGCCGTAACCACCTGGCCATGCAGTTTTAAGTCCAACCTAGCAGTTAGTTACAATGATAACCATCATAACGAAGAAGTTTTAAGTCCAACCTAGCGGTTGTTTCATCGTCGTTTGGGTTGCAGATATTTTTCAGTCCTCTTGACTTGTCCAGTAATTATATCCAGTTTTGTATTAAGTGTAACATATGATTTTTGGTACACTTTACTAACAAGCTACTTATTTTAACCAGAGACTATGGTATCAAGAAACAGTAAGGCTATGATAGAATACCCAGTGTGCGAAACAGTAAAAATAGTAGGATGCCAGTTGTTAAGGAAACCAACAAATTCTAAGAAAGATTTAATGTTACGATTCCAAATACCGTAAATGTCACCAATGTAACAATACCACCTCTCATGTTTTTGTCATGTTTCAAACTCCCCCTGCGAAACTGCAGAGCTTTCGAAGTTGAGCATAACAATTACAGCGATAGCAACAGCAACGCTGTTACACATAGCGATACCCTGTGTTTATAAATAATATCATCAAACTTAAAGCAGTTGTTCGTCGAGACGTAGAGGAGAGTATTGTTGACCGGTTGAAGTGGTATATCCAAAGTGTCAAGTGAGGAAGGATTAAATTTCAGAAGATTCATAACCGCGCTTATTCTCTCCCTTATGGGAATAGAAGAACACATGGCAACAACATTATAATGTATAATTATCAAAACTAAATATTTTTACTTACATTATAGTATTCGTCAGATACGATTAATCAGCCTAAACTTTTACGTATTAATCTCTACAACTGATGAATTTATACAATTCTATTCACAATATAATATTCATCAATTATACATACTAAATACAAAGGAGTCTGTTAGCAATACAGTATTCAACAATAACACGTACCAAACCCAAACAAGACTATTTAAAATATAGTACTTAACATTTACAACTACTAACTTAACATTCCTTTTTACATTACAGTTTTCATCAACAAAAAGACAACTTGTAGATGATAAATACTGTAATGTAAAATAGAATGTTAAGTTAGTAGTTGTAATATAGTACTTAACATTTACAATTACTAACTTAACATTCCTTTTTACATTACAGTTTTCATCATCTACAAGTTGTCTTTTACTTTTTCTTTAAGAAGGTAGATTGCTCTGATTGGAACTTAATATTGAATACAAATACTAAACACAAACATTTCTATTTTTCATTACACAATTCACCATCTGAAACAATTAAATGAAAACACTTCTTTTCAAGACTTTCTTGTCTAATTTAATGCTGTTAAATGTTTAGTGTATTTCCTGATGATCTTACAACTGTATGTTGTTTAGTAAAATTGATAAATCGGATCTGCTATTTATTTTCTAGGTTTTAAAAAGCATATTAAGTACAGAGTGGCTAAAATAAAACTCAATAGTTAAAATAATTATATCTTAAAACCTATTCTCCTTAGAGAATAAAATTGTATCGAGATACATAAAATTTATTCAGGAAGGCTTAAACCATGTACAGGATGTTTCAAACCAATTTATAATGCATACCTAACCCACTTTACACTACATACATAATCCACTTTACACTACATACCAACCTAATTTTACTGCATACCTAACCAGCTTTATACTACATACCTAACCCACTTTATATTGCATACCTAATCCACTTTACACTACAAAGCTAACCCACTTTATACTACATACCTAACCCACTTTATACTGCATACCCAACCCACTTAAATTGCATACCTAATCCACTTTACACTACATACCTAACCAACTTTATACTGCATACTTAACCCAATTTTACTGCATACCTAACCCACTTTATACTACATACCTAACCCATTTTATACTGCATACCTAACCAACTTTATACTGCATACATAACCAACTTTACACTACAAAGCTAACCCACTTTATACTACATACCTAACCCACTTTATACTGCATACCCAACCCACTTAAATTGCATACCTAATCCACTTTACACTACATACCTAACCAACTTTATACTGCATACTTAACCCAATTTTACTGCATACCTAACCCACTTTATACTACATACCTAACCCATTTTATACTGCATACCTAACCAACTTTATACTGCATACATAACCAACTTTTAACTGCATATCTAACCAACTTTATACTACATATCTAACGAACTTTTAACTGCATAAACTGCAACCATTGTGCCCACCAGTGGCTTAGTGGTAAATATAAATACTTATAACGCCAAAAATTGGGTTTCGATACCTGCGATGGGCACGGAACAGATAGTCCGTTGTGTAGCTTTCTGCTTAAGAAAAAAAGCAACCACCATCATCTACTCTTGACGTATTTTAATTCAAATCATTAAACTTCTATACTTGGAAGGAAGAGAAAGATAATAGAAATGAAAGCAATACTATAGCTTACAGTATAAAGTTGGTTAAGTATGTAGTATAAAGTTGGTTAGGTATGCAGTTAAAAGTTCGTTAGAGCTTCATTTAGGGCTAATCTTGTAAATCATGAAAGTCATATTAAACACATGTGACAGTTTTTGAAATATCTCGTACCATGTTCAAAGTGTTCTGAATAAAAAGGTTTGATGTGATTTTGGTGGAATTTCGTTACTGTAAAACAAATGGTATTTAATGTCCTACCGTTTCAACTATAGGATGTTTTTTACAATGAACTTGTACATTTAAGATATTCAAGTAAGTCCTTTGTAACTCTCCTTAAGTCTTCATGATGGCAGTAATATTTTTAATCCTATATGCTATCAGTGTTCACCTTTTAAATTATCTGTTTTTATGTTTCAATAATACCATTTTACGCGTACGATATGTTGTGATTTCCAGATAAATTTCGCTTATGAATATATTTAAATATACTCTGCTCGTTCACAAAATATATCAAAAATCATCTTACAGTTATTTCCTTTGTGCGTAATGTTTTCTTTTAGTTTCTCAAAAAGAAATGTTGTTTTCCTCTTTTTCTCAGCTACATCATTTTTCTTTGTGTTTTTTAAAAATTAAAGATTATTTTAACAAAAGCTAGAATAATGCATATTTTTGGATCATCACTCATAATATCGTTATTTCAAAATAATTACTTGTAGTCCTAACACTAATGGGTTTAAAAACATTTACGTATCATATACAAATATTACGATGTTAGCTTTTTAGAAGTTGGCATCAAAACAGCAACAGAACCCTTTTGATGGGAAGAGGTAGAATACTTGTTCTGTAGAATGTGGATATAATGAAGGTGTAAATGTACATAAAACTTTGACTAGTTCTATAAGTTACAGTCGTGTACAGAATGAAACCGTGCTTTATTGTTAATATATTTCTCTCTTTTTAAAGGTTATATAAATCGGAGTCGAGGACCAAAAACAGGAGTTTTCTTTTCCTCCGGATGCGTATTGGCAGGAATGTTAATTATGTTTCTTATCAATCTCCGAAAAACATCAGAGAGAAAAACACAAAGAACGGTGTTGATGGGGGAGAAAGATGATCAAAGCCAGTTTGAATTAGATGCGGCGATAGCACTAAATGATGAAGACGTTTGCACGTGTGGCAGGAATCTAGGAGGAGAAGAGTTGTTGCCTTCAGCCAGATGTCAAAAAGCTACTTCGTTCGCTACTTCGTTAGGACCGGAGGATGAAGATCGAAGGCCGGAACTTTTTACGTGTATCTCCGAAGAGGGCTTAGTGGACCTAGCGGACAATAATGTGCTAGATGAATGGTGTATGGGGGAATGTATTACCTCGTGCAATAAGGAAGAAAAGTTCCTAATGATTAGTGAATTCGAGAACAACCTCCATGATACGGTGAAGTCATCTCGTGATCATCGGATACATCATTCTCCCGCCAGAAGGAGTAGTACACATCCGGAACTGTTCTATGTGACGCAACGACACCGCTTTGATCCAGTTGGCTTACACGTACCAAAGAGAAAAATATCTGTTATAGAAGAAGTCACTAGCTCTGTTTAAAGTACACTCTTGTATACCACATGCTTTAGGTAGCTTTGTAAAAATGTTTGGGTATTTTAGATAAAACTTTAATATACATTTAATTGTTATTCTTTAACATCCTTAAATCCAGATAAAATTGGAAAATTATATTTATTCACAACCAAACAACTTCAATATTTAGATTTAATCTTTACTTTAAAAGGAGAAGTGTTCGTTTTGGATCTATTTACAAACCAGTGCTTCATTGCACTGAGAACGTTGTTTACCTTTATAATGGAGTCGCCAATTGAAAATTGTTTACGTTAAGCAAAAAATTATCTTGTGTGAAATTACATCTGAACATTGAAGCATGAATACGATATTTTTGCTTAGAGAAAGATCTCTATTTATTTAATTGCGAGTGAAGTGGGTTCCCTATAATCCATTTCTCAGTCTCAATTCGCCGAAGCTATATAAGAGTTTTCAATAGTAGTTACTAAAATATTTTATCCAGGGTGCACAGTTTCTAATATGATGTATCGCTTCTTTAAGGACTTAAGTGGCATCTCAAGTCATGAGTGGAGCACTAAAGAACTTTGATACAGCAGACTAACTTCACATTATTCGTTCTCACGCATGCTTGGTTCACAGTATCGTTTCCATTAGCAAAATACTCATTTCTTACAGTCTTTCATTTGTATTTCAGTTCAGCTACTGTTTGTTTTTTTATACTGAAAATTAGTATCTATATATATATTTACCTTTTTTTTTTCATACCTACTAAGTTTCTTAAATATTGTCCATACGGAACTCAAAATGCTTTCCTGGCTCAGTTTTATGGAATAAATTATTTGAGTTGTATTCAAAAGCTCAGAAAGAGACACGTTTTACTGTGAATACGTAAAACACTGCTTTTGTGATCCCTTAGTTTCAGAGAAAAACTACATATATTAAAATAAATTATTTTAATTTTTCTTCTTGGGACCAAAGTTTTTCCTCTGTTTTATTTAGACTTTTCAAAAACATTTCAGTCACAATACTACAAACTTTAATAAAATTCAATTAGGCCATAAAACATTGTGTATGTGTGAACATGATTAAGAGATAAGATTTTTGATGCTTTTTGACTCTGCTAAGCTCTAATCAAAAGTGTTTGTGTTAAATCTAAAACGTCATGTAAACTAAGTAGCGCCCCCTCGTCGATTTTTTTCCAGTTATTACTGAATGGTCGTCTCAAGTGTAACTGCTACGAAAACATTCTTCCAAATAATCATAAGTTTAAAATATTAAACATGTTGGAAATCAGTTAACTATATAAACAACACAAAACAAAAACATTACGCATATCTTTGACGTTTCAGTTTAAAAACCTGAGTGCTTTTTAATAGTCGTGTTATTTTTTTTATTGTAAGTTTTCCTACTATTATGTTTTCACTCACTAACTCTGATACAGAGCCAACTCTATAACTGGGTTTTATTTTTTTTTGTTAAACTCTATTTACTAAATAATAGAAATAATTCTACACATATACCGATGTTATCTCTTTATGTGAAGCTTATAGGTATCTCGCTGATAAAATACCGTTCTCTTTGCGCATCCTAGTGATAGGAGCGTTCGACTCGCAATCTGTGGGTCGCGGACTCGAATGCCCGTCACCTAATTAGTTCGCCGTGGGGGCGTTATAATGTTAAGGTCAATACGATTATTCTTTGGTAAAGAGTAGCCGAAAAGTTGGTGATTGTTGGTGTTGGCTAGCTGCCTTCTTTCTAGTCTATCACTTCTAAATTAAGGACGGCTAGTGCAGATATCCCTTGAGTAGCTTTGCGCGAAATTCAAGCCAAATCGTTTTCTATTTAATCGTCACGCATTTATATAAATATTAATCTAATTATGAAGAGCTTCCTAAATACATTATATTTTTTATTACACCTATTTAAACAATATATAAACACTTCTAAAACTTGAAATGATAAAAGAGTTAATTTATTCAAACAACTTCGATGACGAGGAACCCACTTTGAGACTAATAATGGCTGGAGACGGCTTAAATGGGTAATGAAGAAAAACTTTA